AGAGGAAGCGCCGGGGTGCGAAACCCAGGCACAAAACGGCATGGTGATTGCCCTGGCAGTGCGGACAGGGCCTCTGGTGCGGGCTGTCTCGTTGGAGGTGCCTTCTCAAACATGAGTAGCACCAGCGGTGCTCCTTGGCGATGGTGCGTCTCGCTGGGACCGGCTTACCTAATAATTTAGGGCACGATGTCACCCGGTGATCGCATGCTCGACAATAGGAGCAGGGGGGTGCCTCCCTGGCCACTGGGCCACCTATAAGAAGGTAGGGGGCGGCGCCCTCCCGCGGGAGCTCTGCTCGGTCTGAGGCGGATTGACGACGACTTGCCCGGGGGATACCGCCTCTCCCTGGGCACGGCTCGGCTAGCAGTCTGTAGGTCGTCGACGGGGCCCGCTGCGTTTTTGATCTGCCTGCACTGCTCCTCCAAGAACCGCAACAGATCCCTGAAGAGCGGAATATAGGAGGTGCCGTCCCCGCCGTACCTCTCCTCAAACTGGATCCGAAGATCAAGGGGCAGGCGGGACAGCACAATGTGGAGCAGCAAAAGGGCTATTCGTCCACCGTTAAATCCAGCCGCCTCAAAGAATTGCAGGCCACCAAGACTGGATTTACGATGTCAGGACGTAGTCTGGCCCGGTCCTTAAGCAGCGGGAGGTTTAAAAGCTGCTTGACGTGTTTGTCCGCGATTCGCCGTACGTTGGCGTACCTTCCGGCGAGAAGGTCCCGAGCGGTCTGGTAGGCGTCGTCCAACAATTTCAAATGACCGACGACGTCCAGGGCTTCCCCCTCCAGTGAGGCCAGGAGGTAAGCCATCTTCTGGCTTGGTGTCAATTCCCTCCGGGCGTCCACTAGGCTATCAAACAATCCCACAAAGGTCAGCCATTCGGAGAGGACCCCGGTGAACCTTGGCAGGTCCAGAGTTGGGAGACGTCCCAACAGCTCCGGCTGAGTAGGCTGCTTCCGAGGGGACTCGAGCAGGCCGATTAGCCGAGCTTCACGCGCGTCATACTTCGCCCCCTCCCCGATCAAGTCATCCGTGAGCGAAAATAATTGCTCGTATTCCGCGAGGCAGGAGTCTAGGACTTCCTGTTCCACGCCCGAGGCCATAAGCTCGGAGCAAGCCTTCTCCCCTACGGCCCTTCGGGCCATGACCTGCTCGAGCCGCTTCTCTAAACTATGGACTCTGTCTAGCAGAGACTCGACTTCAGACACAAGTTTGTCCCGGCACTCGGAGACGTTTTCCCGAGAAATATTGGCTCGGCCGGTGTAAAGAGCATCACCAGTGCTGTCATCTGTATAGCAATGAATGTTACGGGTATGCAACATGTCATTGATATGCAGAAGAAACAGCGTTGGCGATAGCACGCAGCCTTGTGGAACACCAGCATTAATAGGCTTGCAATCGGAGCTTGCACCGTCTACAACTACCTTGATGCTCCGATCTGCAAGAAAGCTGGTGATCCAATCGCACAATTTCTCGGGAAGCCCATAGGAAGGGAGCTTCGAAAGAAGCGCTTTGTGCCAAACCCGATCGAAGGCCTTCGCAATGTCCAAACTAACGGCCAATGCCTCCCCCTTGAACTCTACTGCTTCCGCCCATCTGTGAGTTAGGTAGACCAGCTGACCGACCACGGCGAAAACCGTATTGGCGGTCACTAATCAGCTGGTGATCTTCAAGGTACCTCATGAGCTGGCAGTTTACAATGCACTCCATTGTTTTGGAGAACAAGGAGGTGATGGTGATTGGCCGGTAGTTGGACGGGTCTGTGCGGTCGCCTTTTTTAGGGATCGGGTGGACGTAAGCCGTCTTCCATGATTTCGGGACTACGCCTAGGGAGTAGGAGTACCGGAAAAGACGCGTTAAAACCGGTGCCAACTCTGGAGCACACGTCCTCAGCACAATTGGGGGGATTCCGTCAGGCCCACTCGACTTGTGGATGTCGGGAGAGGAGTGCTTTGCGAACCGAGCGCTGTGTGAAGTGCACTTCCGGCATGGAGCACTCACACCGCGGGATGGTCGGCGGAGTACTCCCCCCATCATCGAGAGTCGAGTTAGACGCAAAGAAAGAGCCTAGAAGATCGGCTTTCTCCTTTGCGGTATGGGCCAGTGAGTCGTCCTCCCTGTGCAGAGATGGAAGAGATGGCTGACAGAAATTCCCCTGGACAGCCTTGGCGAGAGACCAGAATGCACGGATTCCATAAGGAAGGCGAACTAGTTTCCCGCCAATTCTGCCTATGTGCTTTGACTTTGCCTTGGCAATGACTCTTTTGAAGGACCTAGAGGCGGAATTATACTTCTTTTTAGAGCGCTGGTGTTTACATCCCGGGACGCTGATGCATCAGCCCAGGCTTGGTAGCACTCCTGCTTATAGCATGATGCTATTTTACAGGAGCGACCAAACCATGGCTGAGACTTGCCTCCAATGGGCACCACAGAGTAAGGAATAAAAAGTTCCATACCCTGAAGTACCACATCAGCAACAGAATCCGCAACAACGTTGGGATCATCCGGCGAGAAGCAAACCCGCCCCCAAGGGTAGGATGCAAAGAAAGACCGCATCCCATCCCAATCGGCTGACCTATAGTGCCAAACACGGCGGCAGCCTGCAGAATGCAACCGCGATTTCAGCATGAGTGGCACCACACTCCGGACCAGACAATGGTCCGAGGAGCCTAAAGGGGCGTCGACGGAAATCTGATATCCGTCCGGGTGAGAGTTCAGCAGATGGTCCAGCAGGGAAGGTGCATGATCCTCCACATCTGGAATCCGCGTAGGAGAAGTAACCAGTTGTGTCAGACCATATGCCAAGGCAAAATCATGAACAGATCTCCCCGCATGATTGGTTAAACGTGAACCAAGCCATTCGGCGTGATGGGCGTTAAAGTCGCCGAGGATCACGATCTCTGCGGAGGGGATCTGCTGTAGCAACGAATCTGCAGCCATTTGGACGTGGTCGAATAGTCGGTCTGTTTCGGCATTACCGCTATGGGACCTATAGAGGCAACCGTAGACGCGCGGATGGTCGTCGCTGTCTACGCGTAGCCAAAGGATGGACAGGTCCGAACCTTCAAGTCTGCCGAGGCGTCGAGAGCAGATGTCCTCTCTGACGTAAACGCAAACTCCAGCCCGAGGCACAAAGGAGTGTTCCAGTTTGTACCCCGGGTAGGAGAGATACGAGACATCAGCCGGAGAGGACACCTGCGTCTCGGTCAGAAAGAGCAGAGCCGGCCTCGCCGTCTCGAGATGGTAGTGAACGGCGTTTAGGTTAGAGTGAAGTCCCCTGATATTGCAGAAATTCACGGACAGCGTGGCAGGGGTCGCCTTGGTCTTGTTGCTCCGTTTGCCCCGAGCAGTTGTAGTCTTGAGCGGAATTTTGCCCCCCCCCCCCAGAATACGCGGGGCAGCCTGAGCACCCACGCTCAGAAGTGGAGAAACATGGTCGTGGATGCTCAGCGAGGGATTCTCCAGGGGTGCTGGTACCCTCCTGGGGTAGTCGATCATTATTTAATTCCGCTACCATGTTGATGGGGGGGGGGGGATTTGGGCCTCCGGCCACCTGCACTCACCAGACGAAACGCGGAAACAGAGCTTCCACTTCACGCCGGTATTCTGTGAGGTCGTGGTACCACCCCGGTTTGAGCCGGCCCATACGTGCAACAGCAAAGCTGCCGCGTGGCTCTACCACTGTTAAAGTTTAGTATTGTGCTTCGGTTGATGGTAACTCACCATCATGATCAGAATGCGGCAAATTGTAGCGAGAGTTTAGGATTTTGGCTGGCCGACGCACTATTCGGAGCATCCCTTTTTGGGAACATACCTTGTTCTAGATTGAGGGCCACCATACCGCAACCGATGATGGGTGACTTACCACCCAACCACGTCAAGGCCATTCGACCAATCGCTGGAGTCGGAACCGACCTTGCTGGCCCCTTCCTCGTCAAGTCCTCTAACCTACGTAACGCGCCTTCACATAAGGCCTATCTGTGCGTTTTCGTGTGCCTCACCACTAAGACCGTTCATTTAAAACTTGTTAGTGCCCTCAGCACTGAAGCCTTTATGGCCACGCTGGGCCGCTTCGTATCGCGTCGCGGTTTGCCGGACCGGATCTGGTCGGATTGCGGAACGGATTGTAGGGGCACGGATAGATATTTGAAGGTGGTCATCGAATTTCTGTCCAGCAACAGGATTTATTTAGGTACTGCGATGTCCAAGAAGGGCATCCAGTAGAAATTCGACCCTTTGGCTTGCCCACGCTGGAGCGGTGAATTTAAGGCGGTGATTGGGGTTGCAAGAGCGCATCTCCGTCGCGTTAGTGGCCGAGGTTTTGGTTTTGAGATTCGATCTTGCAACGTGCCGTCGCGTCCCTATCCCGGTTGCCAATTTAATCACGGACATAGGTCCTTATATCCGGGACGGGGGTTTGATTACGCTCGATAGACTCGAGCGGGGCAGAGAAAACGATTACCGTTGCGTGGGAGGCGGAGGCTAGCTGTGGCGTACGTGCACAGCAAGCGGGGCAGTCTGCAAGAACCGTTGAGCGCTGCAGGCATGCCGGGTTACTTAAGAATTGCAACGGCCTCTATTGTGTTATCTTATCCTTTTATTAATCCAAATAAAAATATGACTCTTAATGTTATTATCATGACATTTAAGTTGTATATGATTATAAATACCGAGAATTAAATGTTGACAAAGTTATTAGTGCGGTAAGCTTCAAGGACTGTACTTAAAACCATACTTAAAATTTACTCTCAAAAACCGCACCAATAACTTTGTCGGTAGTTAATTCGTGAGAAATTTCCTTTGTATATGCCTTATGAACCTTGACGCCAAATTTCAAATTTCTAAGAAACTTAGACGTGGCCTAGGTTGTGATGAGTATTGCATTGTACTTGAAACAGTACTTAAAATTAACCACAAACTAACAGCACAGTAACATTGTGTACACTGAATATTGATAATTTGTAGTTTCTAGATATTTTTCTGCTGAACTTGTCAGCCATGACGTATCGTAATATCTTCGTGAATTTTACAGATGATATGTTAGATATACACAAAATTATAAATAAGGAAGTTGATATGAAGGATACGGCAACTGTATTAAATTTAATGTACGACATAGCCAATGCTACAATTTTACACGAAGACGTTCAAAATCTGCTTCATAGTACTTCGGAAGAGTTTGACGCTGTTATTGCAGAATGGATGTACAGTGAATTGTATTCTGGGTAAGTTATGTACGATTTATTAAAACAAACTATTCTAAGCCAGTGATCGCTAATTATTTTTTACTGCTTGCCATTATTTTCTATTGTTCCAGCTGATGGTAAGTGGTGATAGAGCTGAAAACACTGATTTTTTGCATGGGAAAATCTTCATGGATACATTCCGCTGTTGGCATAACGAAAAGATTATGCCAGACTCCTTTTATTTCTATTATGCCAAATATCGGCTAAAACTCAAGTCTTGTCATCATCAGTGTATACGAGGGGTCGCGGAATCTCGGCCGTGGAAGGAACACGCTCTTACAAAATACCAGCGTAAAATAGCAGCTTGCTGTTGTGCTTCAGACGGTTAGTGTATAGAACCGGAGACTAGTTTTACTGGGAACCAGGCGTTTCATTTAAGTACTTGGAGGTGACAAAGCACCTGTATTTTAATTCTTAGCTGATGATAGATGTAGATCTCTATGGGCCACAGTATCCACTTATTATGAGGTGGGATGTATGCTCTTTTGTTACGCTTATTCTATAAAATTATACTGACAAACGAGCGAATAGTCCACCCGAGGTAAAATGTTCTACAAACTGTGAAAACTGCAGGTAACTTAAAGCCCTACATTTTACAGCGTGGATCTATCACATAATATTATAATCATTATATTTGCATAATATATATTTGTAGGATATAAAATTTCGATATTTTTTATATCGGCATATTTATCGTTTTTGAAATTATAGCACAAGAGATTTTTCTATTTATCATGTCAGCATTTTAATGTGATTACCATTAAATCGTTTTAGAATTAAACAAATGTAACTTAAAAAAGATTTAAACATTGTAGCAATCCGTATTACAAAGTTTAATCATAAGAGCGTTACCTACCTACATTTACTTAAATGCCATTTATGAAATATTATGGATTCATTACACAAGTTTAAAAAGCGATAACGAGTTCGCAGTTTCATGCAAAATAATTTAAATAATGAGTTTGTTTTTAAGGTAGCTATATTACTCCATAATGTAAAACATTCATTTATGTACGTCCGCTAGGGAGGGCTTTTTATATTTGCATATAATTAAAGGCCGCTGCATACAGGACGGCATCAGCACGTGCACGGGACGGAGACGGAACGTGGTTTATTAGTGATCGATAGTTGTATGTCAACACGGATGGGAGTTTAATGCATACGCACCGTGACAGTGACTCGAAAATAATGTGCTAGTGTTGTGAAAGTTTTCATTTGAAGAATTAGCATTAATTGCTATTGCTTCAGATGATAAAGACGCTACAACAGTCAAGAGTAAAAGGAGATTTTCTGTAGATCATACGTGGCAGGAAATAAGACTAGAAGGATCACCTTCTAATCATTCCACACCCCTGGTACTCATACCAGAATCTCTACCAAGAACATTTGGATGACAAACTCAATTTCATATGTATTTTCATATGACAACATGAATGGAAAATAAAATTTATACTAACTAAAATTTTTAATATTTTGTGTTCAATATGTTGCGCAAGATTATACAAACATGAACATGATCCATGATACATTTAGTTCGGTACAACACGCGAATCATACGCAGCGGAACCACGGACGGGACGTGCCACGTGCCGGGCGGGACCGGGTAAAAACATCGTCGCCGACGATATTTTTCCCGTCCCGTTCATGCCACGTCCCCGTCTCGTCCGTGCATCCGTTACGTATGCATTATCACGTACATTTTCTATGAAACGATATTTCCAAAATTTCACGTCCCGCTCCGTCCGGGATAAAACACGTTACGTAGGCAGAGACCTTTAGTCGATGACGACGCAAGAACGTTAGTGTCGAAAACTCTTTTTATAAAACTGAAGACAAACAAATTTACAGTCCACCTGATGGTAAGTGGCTCGAGCAAAACACGGACACCTGCAGCCAACTTCAGGTAAGGGGGACTACAGATGCGCTGTCACCTCTGAGGAATAAGATGGAATGTCTCACATCTGTAATTACACTGATTATCTTAAACCCTGGAACTGGACTGGAACACAGTATTGTATTAAGTTGCTCACATTACCTATATACGAAAGAAAGTAAGAAATAAAGAATCATAAATATTTATTTTATCAATATTCAACATTTATACTCGTCACACGGTCAATTAAACCGATAAGTTTAAGTTTAAGTAACGCACATCCAAAAACTGAATGAAGTTGACATTTTTAACAGGCGGCAACCCACAATTTTTTCCGGGCACGCGGCCAGTTAAATTGATCTGTTGAATTGACGTACATCCAAATACTGACCGTGAGAGTGATATCCTAAGTAGAAAATTGAAGTCAGTGGGTGGGGAAATTGTTTTGGCTTACATCAGTTTGAACTGATCAGTTTAACTGAGCGTGTTTGTCAGTCATAAGATATATAGAAATCTTACATAAATAAGTAATTAAGGAGTCACACAGATGTCATATAGGATCTTGTCCCAGTGATAATCTTAATTTGTTAGTTATAACCTGAATGATCTTTGATAACAACATAATCTCTTTACTTAGTTTAAGGTTGTTGTTAATAGGTGATGTGATCTTTAATGCTTGCTTACTATATTATAATATATATTTAAACGACAGTTATTACTAACAAGTCTCAGTTATTACAAGCAAAGGGGGAAACTTAAAACAAGAACAAAATTCTTGTAGTTTAAATCTTTATGCATATGACATTTTACATGAAAAATATAAGACAGCTTGATTATTCTCACCTTCTTTCTTTACAAGGTTATTGCCGTTTTTCAAATTCCACAGAAACCGCAATTGATCAATAAATCAATTAATACCTTTATTCAAAAACAATATTTTCTTTACGAATATTACAGCAATGTTCTTATTATATTGCTAGGTCTTACTAAACTACTTTTAATAAAATAACAAGGAAATATTTAAAATATTGCTGAACATAATAAATAAATTAAATAACCAAATAAAAAGTAAAATAAATTAATTAATAAATGTCATTGTACCTTTCGTAGTTGAAATAGGTTGAATTACTATATAGTTAATATGTAATAATTCAACCTACTTCATAGAGGGCGGCACTGAAAATTTCGGGAATCAAGGAAGTGACACAACGTTACTATTTAAAAATGTATTTATTGTTTTTCGAAGTATTTTCCGCGAAATTTGACACATTTTTCCATACGATGGAACCAATCATTGAAGCAACCATTCCATTCGGAAGTTGAGGTCTCCAAAATGGCCGTTTTGTAGGTGTCCACAGTTTCTTCAGGTGATGAAAATCTCTGTCCACGCAATTTATTCTTTATTTTAGGGAAAGTATAGGAATCATTAGGGCTTAGGTCGGGGCTGTACGACGGATCGTCTAATAATTCTACGTTTTCTTGCTCTAAAAACTCTTTTGTTCTGTGTGCGGTGTGAGAACTCGCATTGTCGTGATGGAGGATGATGCGGCGGTTGCAGTTCTCTTTACGGAGTTCAGAAACGACCTGTGGCAAACAAATGCTAGCATACCATTCTGCATTAACCGTTCTTTGTCCCTTAAGAGGAATAGTCTCAACATGGCCGGTTTTGGAGACAAACGTGGCCACCATTTTTTTGCAACACTCCGTGAACGAACAATTTTTGTTGGCTTTAACTCATTTTCGAACACCCAAACTCGTGACTGGTTTTTGTTTCGGGTTCGTACGCATATATCCATGATTCTTCACCTGATACGATGTTGTATACAGCATTTGAAGATCCTGCGTGGAATCTTTCGAGAGTTCTGACGCACCAAGTAACGCGAGCCGCTTTTTGCTGTTCACAGAGCGAATGCGGTATCCATCGGGAAAACAACTTTTTTACACCTAATTGTTCATGCAAGATTATTTGTATTTGACTCATGCCAATGTCTAAAGTTGCCTGAATTTCGTGGTATGTCACATGTCGATCTTCCTCAATCAGCTTACGCACAGCATCAACGTTTTCTTGGGTGACTTCAGTTTTTGGACGACCTTGACGGGGATCATCACTGAGCTTGACACATCTACGTTGAAATTCAGCAAACCAGCGATAAATTGTGGTTTTGGATGGGGCTTCATCACCAAATGCAGAAATCATCCGGTCAATACACTGTTTTTGTGTTAAACCACTTCGAAACTCATAATAAATCATCGCTCTTGAATTTTCTCGAGTCAATTCCATTTTCTCATCGACTAAACAAGTTTGACAAAACCTTGTGACAAGACCGAGAATCTTTTTTTTAAATAAATAAATGGTATTCGATTTTTAAAACCAAGGAGTTTTCAATTAAAAAGATTTTAATATGACAGGAACAGTGGAAATATTCCATTCCCGATACTTTTAGTGCAGCCTAGGTAATTTTAATTCCATGACAAATGTTCAATAATATATCATTTACATTATATAATTAAGAAAACCAATGAATAACCACACACTCAATAATAAAAAAAATGCTTGTTCAAAAATAAAATAAATTAAAAAAAGAAACTACTCGAAGAGGGGAAGGTCAAGAGTACTCGGATGCCTAGACGTGCATGTATGAAGAAGTTATTGAACCTGAAAGAAGCGAAAGAGGTATGTAAAGATCGTGACACTTGGCGATCTGTTCTCTCTGGCTACCCCGTTAGGGATTGTGCGTGAAGATAAGCAAGTAAGTAAGTAAAAAAAGAAACTAAAAATAAATTAAGGAATAAATTTCTTTGTAACTATTTAAATAAATATTCTACCTATTCTACAGTTAAATTCGTCAACGTTATAAATACTCACTATTTATCTCTTAGTAGAGACTCAGATTTGAAAGCACTTAACTTTTTTATTACTTTTAGTTTTTTATGCATCTTGTTAAAAACTAAAACTGCCTGATAACAAATACAGTGTTTCACAATCACCAGTTTAGGGAAAATATTGCCTCTTACGTTCAAACTGGAGATTGTGAAACATTATCCAAGTCCATCCTTCTAGTGCTTACTCTCTTTTTCATTTCTTCATCAGATTCATAAGAATGTCTGTGATGTGCTATTAGTGAAACAAAAACGTTGTCGATATGTTCATTTAGTCTATCACTTAGTAAAATTATAGTTTCGTATAATATGGTTTTTAATACATAAATAACAAATCAAGGAACGTTAAAAGATGCTTCATCTGACGTCTTACTACAAAAACGTAGTCAAATAATGCGGAATATCGCGCTATCGTGGTAAGTTAAAATAAATCATTGAAAAGGTCACTAGAAAGAAAAGAAAGAAAGAAAGAAAGATCTTTCTTTCTTCTATCGTGGTAAGTTAAAATAAATCATTGAAAAGGTCACTATAAAATCCTCTTAAATTTAGACGATATGATTTTTCCTAATTAGCCCTAGCCTTATTAGGGTTTCACGAGATATTTTAACTGTAAACATGTAACCAAGTATAGCATAGAAATTTTTATTTATTTATGTTTGTCTATTTGACATAGGACGTTCCTTAACCTTTCAAACGCCAAGCGTCCAAATTTGACCGCTTCGATATTCCGCCAAAATTCAAGCGGTCAAATTTGACCGCACCCACCCACAGTACTTTAACCCATAAATACTTATGCTTAGAGACTACTTTTATATGAAGAAGCTTGGCATTATAGAATCAATATAAAATTTCTATCCTCTAGTGGAATTTAAAAATAGTTAGTCTATGGATATTAATTTATATTCTACGTTCATTACATACGCCATTTTCATTTGGATGTTGTTGTATTGATTTTTAGATTTTTTTAGTATTTTATTAGTGTTTTACTATAGTGTTTATTATAAAATTGTTATAAAAGTTTTTGTTTGAATATAATTTATCTTTTTACGTAAATAATTTCGAGCAATATATGGAAATAATTGTAATTTTCACGCTGCCGACATCCGAATGGTATTTTTTGTTATCAAAATACAATAAACTCTTTTTGTAATGAAGTAAAACCTGACTTTCTCTTCTTTTCTTTTTGTAATGAAGTAAGACCACAGGATAGAGAATTATATAAAATTTTATAATGCCAAACTTCTTCATAGAAAAGTAAAAGTAAAAGTAAAGTTACAGCCTATATACGTCCCACTGCTGGGCTCAGGCCTCCCCCCATTTCTGAGAGGGTTTAGGGCAAGGAAGTGTCCGCCGCGCTGCCCAAATGCGTGTTGACGAACTTCACATGTCTTCGAAATATTTTTTTTCTTATTGCTCAGACATGCAGGTTTCCTCACGATGTTTTCCTTCACCGCCGAGCACGTGGTAAATCAGCACTTAAAATTGCAATTAACAATTTCATTGGTGCCGGCGGGGATCGAACCCGGGTTACTCGCGTTCTGTTATATTTACAGCGAGCGTTAATCACTGAGCTACCACGGCTCTTTACGGCTCATAGAAAAGTAGTCTCTAAATATAAGTTTTAATGGTTTAAAGTGCTGTAGGTGGGTGCGGTCGCATGCGACCGCTCGTGTTTTGCCGACTGCATGGGAATTTTATAGGGATTGAAGGGTTAGGGGTTCAAAAAACTGAGGACACTGCAACGATAGTAAAAATACCGCGGCACGACCGCTGTCTGTCTCCCTTTTCTCGCTCCACCACGACTGCTAACAAATCGATTACGAACGCATGGCGCGTTTTCCTCTATGCTCTCTCAAGATATCCGTCATTCATTCATTAATTACACTTTATCAAAATTCCACTGTTGGACATAGGCTTTTTCCATAGACTTATGCAAGATGCCAAAAATATCAAATGGTTACCGATGGATAGGGGTTCTACTATTTCCATCACACGAGACGTGAGATAGAGCGCAAAATACCTAGACAGGCGAGTAGGGTCAAAAGTGAAAAACATCTAGTAGTGTGTTACGTGATAGAACCATATTCCAACTATATTACGCTTGTAGCACAAATAGGTCAGCTCGACTGGGGAAGGACCACGTTCTCATAGAATACCAGCGTAAAACTGCAGCTGCTCAGGTATGTTGAGTGCGGAGAATCGGAGACCCCTTTTACTGGAAACAAATCATTTAACGTTAGTCAGCAGGGGTGTCAACGCATCTATTATCTCATAGGGGAAATATTTGCTATAGCTCCCGCTCTTAGCTAGTGTCACCATTATTTCTGTCACTCTGTCGCCAGTTACGATACTCACGGTATAGTGTAGGGTCTTAGAGCTTCCAAGATGAGGTGGAGGATTCTCATACGCAGGCAATACGCGGCATTTGTTTTTAAAGTATGTGATAATAGACTATATTCGAGCTATAGCTATTCTAATTAGATAGAGAGGTCTATTTTATTCATATTTTTGTGACATAATTTAATAAAAATAAATAAATAATCAAGCACGAGTATGTATGTTGATGTAGATAATAGCTAAACTTTAGAAATAAATAATCATAGATTAAAGACGTTATGCAAGTTTTCTTTCCCGGCGGTATTACTCTACCAAAAATTGTGAAATAAAACAATAATTATGAACACCGTTAGGATAATAACTTAGTAAAATATAAAATGTATTTAATATGTATGTAGTATGTACATATAATATATGAGTGTAGTATGATTATTAGATAGTATGTTTTTAATTATTTATATTACATTATTCATTTCGCGCTATTACTCTTTGCTAACACTTGATTTTTTTATATATCTATTATTATTTTCATCTTTTATTTATTTTTCATATCACCAACCAACTTTCATGGTGATGTTTGTGTAAATAAATGATTTAATTTATACAAACATCCCCTTTTATATGTATAGTATAAGATATCTCAGTGTTATTACCATACATTTGACAAACAGTCCGTTACATGATGCACTTCCCATCCGTACGTTTTAGACATCTAACGGGTCATAATAACAGTTTTTACATGCGTTTCGTTACTAATCCTACGGAACGTATAGTAACCGAGCATAAGCAAATGAACGATATTTTTTAACAAAGTTCTAAAAAGGAAAACTTCTATATAGAACACCGATTTCTGAGAATCGGCTATAGCGATTGAAAAAATGAAGTTTTTTTAATAGAATATATTATGTTTGTAGCACAAATGGATGGGCTCGACCGGGGAAGGACCACGCTCTCACAAAATACCAGCGTAAAATAGCAGCATAACACTACTGTTTTTCGTATGATGAGTGTAAAGATCCCGAGACCCTTATTTTAGTCCTCAGGGGTGACAACGCATCTGCGTTTTGATTCTTAATCGAGGATAAATGAAAGTGTCTATGGGCCACAGCATCCACTTACCATCAGGTGGACTGTGTGCTCGTTTATCACCCTTATTTTATAAAAAATTGTAATGAAAACACTGTAATGTAATAAAAACTCCCCCATAATAGTTTCTGTAGTCGGGGCTTTTATTCTACTAAACAATTTGTTTTATTATCTTCTGAAGGTATTACGTGGAAATTATTTTATGCTCGAGTTTTTAAAGTCAGTTGTATACTATTTATATTTTGTATTTGTATTTATTTAACATATGACTGGAATTTTGGTATATTACGTTATATTTACATACAACGTACGGCCAGCCTGTAATCACTACATATTATATTTTGTTTTATTTATTTTTAAATTTGTCAAGGAGTCAACACACACTAGAAAAAAGGTATAATAAGTTAAAATAGTTAAAATAATAAATTAATATTAATTTCAGCTTCGCCGCTGTTTTTAATTGTCCATTGATCTGGTTCTTATCAGTGTACCCGCATAATATGGCACTGTCACTAATAGATATGGAAACAAACCCAGCCTACACAGCGGACCATATCAAGTCCAATTCAATACCACCATTCACATTTTGGGAGCGGGTCAATGAATTACGGATGCTGTTGCATTGGAAATTTTACAGATGGTGAGTTGATTGTTTCCTTGGATGATTTACAATTACTTCTTATGTTATAGTCTTAAAAAAATCCTACGCAGTCCAGTTTAGGAGAATCCATTACACCCATATATCCCGTGAGTCTTAAGTGAGTGAGTCGTAAAGTGGGAAATGTAAGAAAGGTGTCACGGTATACGACAGATGGGTGTTAAGACATTACATTTGTGATAAATAATCACAGACCAGAGGCGGAAAAAGGTCAATTATGTGACCTTCATATGACTACCAATCCACCTGCCAATCGTGGCGATCTAGGCAAATCCTACTTTTTTAACTGTTATAAGCCAGTACTTGATAACTATCCTAGATAATAGCGGGTAAAGCGCACAGAGTTTATCAAAAACCGATACACTCTTGTCTTGAAGACATCGACATTATAATTGGAAGAAAATACAGATGCCGGCGAATTGTAATACTCCTTTGCTGATCGCTATATGAACGACGAAGATTCGTTACAATAAAGGAGGCCTTTATCTAGCAGTGGGCTTTTGCAGGCAGGTGAAATATAGATTATTCCAAAATATGAGCATAAAATTAGGTATTTAATCAGAAATAAACTTTTAATTAAATATTTTTTTCTGAATAGTAGGTATTATTATTGTTACAGCTTATTAAAGTCCACTGCTGAACCTAGGCCTCCCCAATGAATTGTCTTATAGGGTATGTTTGCCATTGTTGCCACCAGCGGGTAGACAATCACAGTTTTGTTTATTTTTTGCGTCATTAAGTGGACACTGCTGCCCATATCCTAGTTTGTTTCCCTCTGTCGCCTCTTACGACACCCTGGGGATGACATGGGGTACTGAATATTTTTACACCACCATTACATCATCGTCATCATTATAGCCCTTCACAAATCCACTGCTGAATGTAGGCCTCCACCAAGGAATGACACAAAGCACGGTCCTAAATCAAATGCATCCATCGACTTCCTGCATGTCTTAACAGGTAGCCACTCGGCCACTCGCTGCCCTACACTACGCCTAACGGTACGAGGCTGCCACTTGAGAATCTTCGTTCCCCATTGGTTGTCGGTTTTTCGAGCTATATGGCCGGCCCATTGCCACTTCAGCTTACTAATGTGTTGGGCTATGTCGGTCACTCTGGTTCTACTGAAGATATCCTCATTTCTAAATCCCAAGCATCACCCTCTCCATAGCTCGCTGAGCGACCTTGAGCGTGATCATATGGCCAGCAGTGAAGGACTACGTCTCTGATCCATAAGTCATCACTGGCAACACGCACTGGTTGCACAATCTCGTTTTCAGGTTTTGAGGTGTACCTGAAGAGAAGATGTGTCGTAATTTCCCAAACGCAGGCCAGTCGAGTTGAATCCGTCAATGGACTTCTCCGTCAAACTTGGACTTAACTAGTCAGACTACTTGTCCCAGGTAAACGTACTCTTCAACACCTTTGAGGTTAGTGCTCCCCAAAACTACCGGCACAAGTATGACATGAAGATTACACATGATCTTTGTTTTGTCCATGTTCATCTTAAGACCTATCCGTTGAGAATACCATTGAGGTCATTGACCATAGTGCTTAGGTGCTCCAGCGATTCTGCCATTAGGGCTATATCATCGGCAAATCGAAAGTGAAGGATGCTCTCGCTATTGAATTTAATACCGTATCTTTCCAGTTCAGTAGCCTGAAAACGTCTTTCAATGTAGTGGTGAGGAGTTTCAGGGATATATCGTCACCCTGTCTTACACTTTTCCGCATTTGGATAGGTGTCGTACTCTGGTTCTTACTCGGATAGCCATCGTAGCGCTACTCTAAAAATATTTCAGCACTTCGATATATCGACAGTCAACTTAGCACCGTTGTAGAAGCTGTAGCACCGCCCAAATTTCAACGGAATCAAAGGCCTTCCCATAGTGCCCATACGCAAAGCAAAGTGGCAGATTATACTCTTCGGTCTTCTGTACAATCCGCTGCAGTGGATGTATGTGGTTTAAGGTACTGAAACCTTTTCGGAAATCGGCTTGTTAGGGAAGGGAAGGGCTAAAAGTCGTCGAACCTTTATGCGAGACGATTCATAACAACTCTCGAAAACGGCACGTAAACGTGGCTTAGAAGGAAAATCAGTCTGTAGTTCCTAACGATTGCGATGTCACCTTTCTTGAAGAACAAGACCACCGCTCTTCTGATGCAGGTCTCCGAAGTAGTTCCACTATGCATTAATTCAAACTACTTTTACGGATTTTATCGCGTTTATTTATGTTGTTTTTAATACCTGACGTTTCGGGTGCTTTCCAGCACCCATGGTCACGGGGGACTGAGGTGACTGACGTCCCAATATCAAAGTTAACCACAGAGTACCTTCAGCTTTTTAATTATTGTCTTTGGTTCGATCTACGAAGTACCTTCAGCTTTTATTAAAAAGCTGAAAGTACTACGTGGTTAACTTTGATATCGGGACGTCAGTCACCTCAGTCCCCCGTGACCATGGGTGCTGGAAAGCACCCGAAACGTCGGATTTTAAAAATAACATCAATAAACGCGATAAAATCCGTAAAAGTAGTTTGAATCAATGTATAGTGTTCGCGTAAATATTAGAAATCATTAGTTCCACTATGGTTTCTAACCGCCTTCAGAAGCTCCGCTGTAATACCATCCTCGCTTGTGTACAGCTGCCCATGGAACCTCTCAATATCACTCGCAATCTCAGGTGTCCCAGAAACTATGCTGCCACACTCGGTCTTCAGCTTTAACAGTTGGCTCTTTCTGGCAGACCGATATCTGGCAAAGACTTTGGAACCGTGGTTCCCCTCAATCACTTCTTCAATACGTGCAGTATTAAAGTTGCATAAGTCCCGCCACATGCAATTGGAGATCTGTCTGTTCAGTTGCCTGTATGCAGTCAAATCAGTTAAAGACTTCAGCTTCATTTCTCGTCTAACAGCTATGAGATTAAGAGTGTAATCAGAGAGTTTTTGTATTCTTCTGCGGCAGATCTCGCAAAACTTAGCTCCGACCGCATGGACGGTTTCCACGCGCTTATCGTTCATATCGTCCACTGAATTCCAGTCTTCTAGGTATTGAAAACGGTTTTGTAACTCGAACTTAAAGGTTTTGGAACTTTGGATTGAAGCACGCTGGGGACGAAGCGTTGACTTCATTAGGCGAGACCTCTCCAACTTAACCTAAACGTTAAGCTTGTCTGAAACCATTCTGTGATCGCTGCCAGTTTTCATCTACATCATTCGCTGACGGTCAAACCTGCATGATAATCAGCGAATACCGTTTGGTGATTCTGAGTATAAGGTACGCAAACCTCGTCGACAGACTCCCAATCTTAACAATGTTGTTAACGAGAGACTTGTGGACGATAAATACGACATCTCTTTGGGACAGATGGTCGCCTTAACGGTGATAGAACGAATTGCCGGATTCGAGGATCACCGTGTCCTTCCTCTCTCTTCGTACCTCAGATAATCCTATAATATTTTAGCGCAGCTTGTCTATCTCTTCTTCCGTCTCCATGATTTTATCGTCAGTCCTCATTGTGCGTACGTTGTATGTTGCTAGGTTGAGTCGTCTTAGGTGGCAACCGAACTTCCACCAGAGATTTTCAGCACCCCTTGCCCTGCCGTTACCATCTCCACCGTAGTTAGGAATAGCGGGGCTGCCGGGGACTGGGGGCTATTTATTTGTGTCTTTGCTCATGGGGGGTATATTGCCATGGTTGCCACGCGAGCGGGTTGGCAACCGCAGTTTTTTTATTGTACAATTACTGTTATCAGGAAGATGCTACTGCACATCTCTTTCCTGTTTCCCTCTGTCGTCTTTTACGACACCAACGGGAAGGTATGGGGTAGTGGATATTCCAAACCGTCACTAAGCGACCCATTTTGATTATTGTTAGAAAATTTGGCTTCTACTACTTAACATTAATTTATATTTAATGCACCTATCCTATCACATTATCTCACTACGCCCAGGGTTAACTGGGAGGGAAAAGGGAATACCTTATAAACATTCCAATGGGCTAATAAAATAAGAATAAATAAATAAATAAATAATTTTGTATATAGTGTAGTAACAATCTTCTATACACGATTAAAGCTTCTTGGTATAATAATAACATTTTTTTAATAATATTAATAAATATTACTAAACTCTAAATGATTTATTTGAAGTAAAAGGTCAATAATTACGTGATTTGTTATTTTTTTAAATTTATTGACTTATTATTCCTACCAGGTGGGTAAACGATCGAGACAGCAAGTCTTTTGATAAAGCTTTTAAAGCGGCTGCTATGAAAAGGAGCCGCACACTGCTTCCGCTGGATGAACTAAAGTATAATGGATCCTTAATGTTCGGAAATTCTCACGTGTCAACGGGTGATGCCATCGCACTACCACGTAATTTCATTGATATAGCTGGATATCACATAAACAGGACTGTTAAACCTTTACCCGAAGTAAGTAATTATTTAAAATATTTAAAAATACTAACTTAAGCTGTGTAGCGGCGGTGTAAGAATATCCAATACCTCGTATCCAATACCTCGTATCACCCCCGTGGGTGTGGTAAGAGGCAACAGGGAGAAACAAATCAGGAGATGGCTAGCAGTGTCTTTCCTAAATTAGGAATTTTTATTTTTAGTCGTTATTAGGAATCCTAATAACGACTAAAAATAAAAAAATAAGCAGCGGTTGCCAACCCATTTGCAAAGCGTAGCAACTATGCCAAATATATACTAGAGACTATATTTTCTAGCGGTATAAGTGCTTATACAGTTCCTATAAGTAATAAATTGACACAAATGATACAGCTTTATGTGTTAGTAACGTTGTTATTTAGTGCACAAAGAAATTTTTACACTACAGATATTACCTCATAAGTAACTTCGTTGAGTATAAAACAAAAAGAACTTTATATTCAACGACTAGATTATATTTATATATTTTATTAAATAATTCCGACATTTAATTTCAGAGTGAAAAATTATATTTAACATTTTAATATTATACTCCAAATGGCACAGTGATCAATAGCCAAACCGATAATAATTGTATAGGCTACAATTTATGTATAATATTCGTAAAATTATATTTTAAACTTTGTTTTTATAGCTGAGAAAATGGCGTCAATTTGCCCAAACCGGTATTTCATTGGTCTTAGCCTAAGTAACTGTACTATGTATGTAATATATTCTATCATACATGGATGTATGTGGTTGTTAATCAGTTTTATAATAGAATATTTTTGTTGCTTACGCTGTATAGCAGTTTTTTAAACACATATAAATTCTCTTAAATATAAAATGATTGTATAAAAGATGAAGAACATTATCTAGGGTACAGCGTTGGGTAACTTATGTCCTTTCTTCAATTTGTCTCATTTTAACATATATTTTTCATTCAGGGTTCTCTAACTGCACTAAATATTATTTCCACATAATGATACCAAATTAATTGTGTTCACTAGCACAATATAAACACGCAAAGCATGCAAAATGGCGATATTCTCTCACTTATACAGGTTTAATTTGTACTATAGCAGTTTTTTTTAGTTTTATATCACCTTCATAGCCAGAAGTCATATAACTACTGTATTTACAAGAGTGTGGAATTACGTCATAAAAAAGAGATAGAGCTTACAGAGAACATAGAGCTATAGCTCTAAGTGTTATTACATAAATAAGTGACAGCGTGCAAAAAGCAGCTTCTGTATAGGTTTAGTGATAAAACAAGATTGAAGTGTTACAAAATGCTTAAAATTGTAAACGAGAGTTTCATATTCTAATTAAGGACCCTAAGCTTACTTAGATTCAATAATACAGAATTTATACAGCTAGAGCTGTATAATTACTCATAAACCACTCTTATAAGGATAAAACATCTTTTTGACACTTATACGCTTCTATAAGAACTTTAACTGTTCTATGTGGACTGGTATATTTCGTAACCCTTGTGTGCTGTTTGAGATGTAAAGTTTTGAATACTGAGATGATACAGGCTTGCAATGTACTTAGCTGTAAAAAGAGTTCGTATCTACCATAGAATACTATAATTACATACATAATAGAACGGGGGAGTGGGCAGAGCCCGTGTAGCCACTAAAATGTCACTAACACGTCAATTCACATGTATAACACAACACGAGATGTGTTTTGACGTTACAATTGTTTCCAAATTTCGCATGCAAATTATTTAGAAAGCGATAAATTGCACGCTATTTACAAATAAATATGTATTAAAATCTGTCTTTCAACACAGCGAATCGGATTTGTAGTAGTGATAATATAATACGACGTAATTGCTTGTATGTGTGCTCCCGGCGACGCCTATCCTCGTACAAAATAAGGTTGACGTGTATTGTAGTATTCCATGGTATCTACCCACATGGACTCTTGAACAGATAAGCTCTCCTATTTTTTAATGTAATTTTTTTGTATAATAATTGATTCGTTTTATTTGCTTGTGAGATTAAACAAAAAAATATTAAAAAAAATTGCCTCTCATTATTGTTTTGTCAGTCATTATTTTAATGTCAGTATTTATCTAATCATTACAAGCCGACAAAATACCCAAGATGACGAGACACTATATAAGTAATCAAAATAATCGCGTCCATAGATTGTCAATGGTTAAAAAAATTTGTTAGTAAGTTATTCTGCGGTATTTATCGAGATAAAATCCATGTTCTTTTAGAAAGGTATGGGTGAACGAGTTCACCAGGTGGAAGATAAGTAACTATGGGTGTCCACCAATTAATTCATTTAGTAGTATATATTATTTATTAGGAATTATTATTTATAATTATATTCAAAATACATACGCGTTATCACATCTGGGGACATAGTGTGACAACTGGGATATTTTAGCGTCATTATATATTAAATAATATAAACACAACACTTAATGTTTTGTGTATTTTATAAAAATGTTTTTTAGACTGATTTTCGGTCACGGTGACCAGTCGCAACGGAGACTAACTATCTGGCTAGAGGACAGGATTATATAAGCAAAAGCTATAATAAAAAAAGCCCTCACACAATTCAATCTTTAATAAATAACCCGGTGGAAAAATGTATCTAATGTATCGGTCAGTTAAATATTTTGTTTTCTTATCTGACTCTAGGTACTAGACAATATTCCTTTAGTAATTAGCTTTTGAGCCGTGGTAGCTCTGGGGCTGAGCGTTCGCTATAAATTGCACAATACATTAGCAACCCGAGTTCGATCCCCGCCGGCACCAATGTAATTGTATATTCGGTGGTAAAGGAAAAATAGTAAGTAAACTTGCATGTTTGCGAAATAAGAAAAAAATATTTCTGGAAGATATGTATCTTCGAGAAATATTTTTTTCTCTTCTTTCTATCTTCGAGAACAATATGTTTGCCAACACACATTTGAGGCAGCGCGGCAGACATTTCTTTGCACTAAAAACCCTTTCAGAATTGAGAGGAAGTCTGTATCCAGCAGTGGCACGTATATAAGCTGTAACATCAACTTCTAATTTCGATTGGCTTTTAGGACATTAAAATCATCATGGATCGAGCTACAGTAGGAGTAATTTTTTTTAGCATGGGATCGATGCTAAAGAGCAGTAAAATGCCGCAGCAAATAAAAAATGGTATATTACAAATTTTTGGCAAGTTAAAACAAACAGTCATCTGGAAGTTCGAGGAAGCGTTACCGGATTTACCGAAGAACGTACATATCTTAAACTGGGCTCCGCAGCAAAGTATTTTGGGTACGTAATGTTTAATGAATTCATTTCATGGAATAAATCAATATAGAATAAGGATGCAATCGAACACCCAGTCTACCTGATGGTAAGTGGAGCTATATGCACACAGACAATTTAATCTATCCTTGATTAAGAAACCTATGAAGAAAATGTAGATGCGTTTTCACCACTGAGTACTAAGATAGAATGACTCGTTACCAACACAAAAATGTCTCCGGTTTGCTAAACCTACCATGCAAAACACAGCAGTATATTTACGCTGTTATTTTATGAGAGCATTTGTGTATCGTACTGTGCGTCCTTCCCCGGTCGAGTTGATCCATTCGCGCTACGACCGTAATGTAAATACAGCGTGACCCTACTAAATTGTTGAAAAATAAAATGCTATTCTAATGAAATAAGAAAATTACATTATCATCTGAAAGAAATATTGAGAATAAATGGTATCCCTCTGTTATCAGCTCATCCAAACTGTGTTCTCTTCATCACTCACGGAGGTCTTCTATCAACAACTGAAGCCCTACACTTCGGGGTTCCTATTATTGGTATACCAATGTTTGCCGATCAGTTCATCAATGTCAATAGAGCAGTTGCTAAAGGATTTGCAAAAAGAGTTGATCTCAATTATGAAACCCCCGAGAACTTGAAAATGGCTATTGAAGAAATACTCGGTACTCCGAAGTAAGTAATTTTTTCCTGTATTACAAAGTTAATATCCGATTTTAACGCCTATCTTTATCGATAACAAGGAGCAGTGGGAGAAATAAGACTAGTAGTGAGCTGCTATAGGGTAATGACGACATGTAACACCGAACAATAGCTGTATCATATCAAAATTTGACGTGGTGTAGCAATGATACAGCTATATTATGGTTGTAGCACGATTGAGTTGGCTTGATCGGGAAAACTCTCTCAGAATGCCAACATAAAATAGCAGCATAATGTGGCTATGTTTCGTATAGTGAGTGTAGAGATTCGAAGATGAAAACGAGGCATTTCATCTTAGTTCTTAGGGGTGACAACGCATCTGTATTTTGATTCTTAACGGGGAATGCATATAGATGTCTATGGGCCATATAATCTACTTACCATTTGGTGGACTGTGTGCTCGTTTGTCACCCTTATTCTATAAAAAAAATAGTCTTATTCCGTGCGGGTCGTACGAGGACGGCACTGAAAATTTCGGGAATCAAGGAAGTGACACAACATTACTATTTAAAAATGTATTTATTGCTTTTCGAAGTATTCTTCGCGAAATTTGACATATTTTTCCATACGATGGAACCAATCATTGAAGCAACCATTCCATTCGAAAGTTGGGGTCTCCAAAATGGCCGTTTTGTAGGCGTCCACAGCTTCTTCAGGTGATAAAAATCTATGTCCACGCAATTTATTCTTTATTTTAGGGAAAGTATAGAAATCGTTAGGGCTTAGGTCAGGGCTGTACGGTGGATGGTCTAATAATTCTGTGATTTCTTGCTCTAAAAACTCTTTTGTTCTGTGTGCGGTGTGAGAACTCGCATTGTCGTGATGGAGGATGATGCCGCGGTTGCAGTTCTCTTTACGGAGTTCAGAAACGACCTGTGGCAAACAAATGCTAGCATACCATTCTAAATTAACCGTTATTTGTCCCTCAAGAGGAATAGTCGTAACATGACTGTTTTTGGAGACAAACGTGGCCACCATTTTTTTTGCAACACTCCGTGAACGAACAATTTTGTTGGCTTTAACTCATTTTCGAACACCCAAACTCGAGACTGGCTTTTTGTTTCGGGTTCGTACGCGTATATCCAGGATTCGTCACCTGATACGATGTTGTATACAGCATTTGAGGATCCTGCGTGGAATCTTTCGGGAGTTCTGACGCACCAAGTAACGCGAGCCGCTTTTTGCTCTTCACAGAGCGAATGCGGTATCCATCGGGAAAAAACTTTTTTACACCTAATTGTTCATGCAAGAGTATTTGTATTTGACTCATGCCAATGTCTAAAGTTGCCTGAATTTCGCGGTATGTCACATGTCGATCTTCCTCAATCAGCTTACGCACAGAATCAACGTTTTATTGGGTAACTGCAGTTTTGGACGACCTTGACGGGGATCATCACTGAGCTTGACACGTCCACGTTGAAATTCAGCAAACCAGAGATAAATTGTGGTTTTGGATGGGGCTTCATCACCAAATGCAGAAATCATCCGGTTAACACACTGTTTTTGTGTTAAACCACTTCAAGTCATCTCTCTCAGTCTTAAAGTCATCATAAATCATCGCTCTTGAATTTTCTCGAGTCAATTCCATTTTCCCAACGACTAAACAAGTTTGACAAAACCTTGTGACAAGACCGAGAATCTTTTTTTAAATAAATAAATGGTATTCGATTTTTAAAACCAAGGAGTTTTCAATTAAAAAGATTTTAATATGACAGGAACAGTGGAAATATTCCATTCCCGATACTTTTAGTGCAGCCTGTAAGTGATTTGGTGAAAAGTTCTTATGACTTGCGGTCAATATATGCGTAACTGTCCCGCATTTACACCGGATATAACATTCTCAAACTTGCATTAATTGTACGTCTCTGGTAGTGCGATTATCAGTTTACCAGCGTAACCTAACGACTGACGATGAAGACAAATCCACTCTTCTATAGGAGAGGCCCGTATTTATATCGGCGTCAAATGTTCGTATCTCGTACTCACGGCAATTCTGCATTGGCCCATGGTCTAGCAATGGACTGTTATAATACAAATAAAATGTCCGGCGAGTTATATAAATTTGATGCAATATTTCACAACAAATTTATAAAATATATGTATACGTATTTTATGTTATCAATTTGAGTGAACTAAACGAGGGTAGCGGTGTAAGATCCACTACCACATTTCGTCCCGTGGGTGTCATAAAAGGCGACAGAGGGATACTAAACAGGGAAAGCAGCGTCCTTCCTAATAACAAGTTTTTTAGTTGTAGTGAAAAGTTTTAAGAACACGCCTGTCAAGCGGGGCAACTATGCAAAACCCTCTTATGTGGCATTCATTCTGAAGAGGCATATGTTCTTAGGCCGTAATGAAATGTGTGTATTGTAGTGTGCGTCAATGGTCCGTGTCAAAATAAAGTTTCTTTTTTCCTCTACTGTCTTTCTAAATTTTTATTTTTGTTTTTAGATATCGTGAGCGTGTCAAAGAGCTCTCTTTTATATACAATGACCGAGCGTTGCAACCTGGTTCTGAGATTATTAGATGGGTTCATCATGTAATAAAAACAAGAGGAGCACCCCATCTGCGATCTCCAGCTCTTCTAGTACCTTTGTACCAAAAATTGTATCTTGATCTCATTTTCCTTATAATTATCACAGTTTTAACACTCATTGTTGCTATCAAAATAGTTGTAAATAAAAGGCACACTGTTGATATTCCTAAAAAGTTAAGTTAGTGTTAACAAATGTGGATTGAACTAAAAGAATAGAACTTCCCTTGCAGAACTAACTTCAAGAGCGTTGTTGATGGTTTATTTATAACATAACTCAAATAAAATAATTTATAATAAAATATTTTTGGGATTTTACCATGCGGTATTTTCGTTGTATAATTGTTTTATTTATCATATTACAATTGGATAGGTTTTAAAAAGTACAATCAAAAATGTACTCACAATATACAATGCATAATTACAAATATAAAAAAAATACGTGTGGCACTCGGTGACTGCCGCGGTAAAGTTATTTCATAGCATTTTTTATCATCTTATGCAGTTATAATTATTTATTTATTTTATTTATGCAGTTAAGTCTTTGATATTAAATCAAGTTACACTTGCCGTGTAGTGGCGGTTGAGAATATCCACTACCCCATATCTTCCCGTGGGTGTCGTAAAAGGCGACAGAGGGAGACAGGCAGGAGATGGGCAGCAGCATCTTCCTGATAACAACTGTGACGTAATAAAAAACTGCGGTTGCCAACCCGCTCGCCAAGCGTGGCAACTATGGCAAATACCCCCCCAATGAATAAATACACAAACAGACGGCCCCCAGTCCCCGGCGGCCCCGCTATTCCTGGCTACGGTGGCGACCATGGTAACGGCGGGGCAGGGGGTGCTAAGAATCTCCGGTGGAGGTTCGGTTGCCACCTACGACGACTCGACCTGGCAACATATAACGCACGCACCCTGAGGACTGACGAGAAGATACTAGAGCTAGAAGAAGAGGTAGACAAGTTGCGCTGGCATATTATTGGATTATCCGAGGTCCGAAGAGAGGGGGAGGACACGGCAATCCTCGAGTCCGGCAACTTGTTCTATCACCGGGAGGGCGACCATCTGTCCCAAGGAGGTGTCGGATTTATCGTCCACAAGTCTCTCGTCAACAACGTTGTAAAGATTGGGAGTGTGTCGACGAGGGTCGCGTACCTCATACTCAGAATCACCAAACGGTATTCGCTGAAGGTCATTCAGGTTTACGCACCAACCTCGGCACATCCCGATGAGGAGGTGGAGGAAATGTATGAGGATATTTCCAGAGCCATACATTCCTCCAAAACCCACTACACGGTGTTGATGGGAGACTTCAACGCAAAACTAGGCACAAGAGAAAGCGGTGAGCTGAAGGTAGGGAAATTTGGAGTAGGGCAACGGAACCGAAGGGGCCAGCAGCTGGCCGACTTTATGGAGAAAGAGGGACTCTTTATGATGAACTCTTTCTTCCAGAAGCGGCCCCACAGGAAGTGGACCTGGTCGAGCCCCGACGGTTCGACAAAAAATGAGATTGACTTCATTATGACGACCAGACGCCAACTGTTCAGTGATGTCTCAGTGATCGCAAGGGTGAAAACTGGCAGCGATCACCGAATGGTTAGAGGCACACTGAACCTAAACGTTAAGTTGGAGAGATCTCGTCTAATTAAGTCAACGCTCCGTCCCCCTCGTGCTCTAATCCAGAATCCCGAAACCTTTCAGCTCGAGTTACGTAACCGCTTCCAGTGCCTAGAAGATTGCAATGCAGTGGACGATATGAACGACAAGCTCGTGGAAACTGTCCATGCGGTCGGAGCTAAGTTCTGCAAGACCCGCCGCAGAAGAACACAAAAACTCTCCGATCACACTCTTAATCTCATGGCTGTTAGACGGGAGATGAGGCTACAATCGTCAACAGATTTGACAGCATACAGGCAACTGAACAGACAGATCTCCAAATGCATGCGGCGAGACTTACGCAACTTTAATACTTCTCGTATTAAAGAAGCGATCGAGCGGAACCAGGCTCCAAAGTCTTTGCCAGAGATCTGTCTGCCAGAAAGAGCCAACTGTCAAAGCTGAAGACTGAGTGTGGCAACATCGTTTCCGGGACACCTGAGATTTTGAGTGAGATTGAGAGGTTCTATGGGCAGCTGTACACATCATCGTTGGAGCCACACGTAAGTGTGAGTAACGATCCAAGATTTAATTATTTAAGAAAGGCGACAACGCTCTCTTGAAGAACTACAGACCGATTTCCCTTCTGAGCCGCGTCTACATGCTATTTTCGAGAGTCATTACGAATTGTCTCGCACGCAGACTCGACGACTTCCAGCCTCCCGAACAAGCCGGTTTCCGTAAAGGCTTCAGTACCATAGACCACATACATACCCTGCGGCAGATTGTACAGAAGACCAAAGAGTACAATCTGCCACTTTGCCTGGCATATGTGGACTATGAGAAAGCCTTTGATTCCGTTGAAATTTGGGCGGTGCTACAGTCCCTTCAGCGGTGCCAAGTTGACTGTCGGTACATCGAAGTGCTGAAGTGTTTGTACAGTAGGGCTACGATGGCTATCCGAGTACAGAACCAGAGTTCGAAACCTATCCAACTGCAGAGAGGTGTAAGACAGGGTGATGTTATATCCCCGAAACTCTTCACCGCTGCGTTGGAAGACGTTTTCAAGCTACTGGACTGGAAAGGATACGGTATTAACATCAATGGCGAGTACATCACTCACCTTCGATTTGCCGACGATATAGTCATTATGGCAGAATCGCTGGAGGACTTAAGCATTATGCTCAATGACCTCAATAGTGCCTCCCAACGGATAGGTCTTAAGATGAACATGGACAAAACAAAGATCATGTTTAATGTCCATGTCACACCTATGCCGGTAGTTGTTGGGAGCACTATGCTCGAAGTTGTTGACGAGTACGTTTACCTGGGACAAATAGTCCGACTAGGTAAGTCCAACTTCGACCGAGAGGTCAATCGACGGATTCAACTCGGCTGGGCAGCGTTCGGGAAATTACGACATATCTTTTCGTCAGGTATACCTCAATCTCTAAAAACTAGATTGTACAACCAGTGCGTGTTGCCAGTGATGACTTACGGATCTGAGACGTGGTCCTTCACTGCTGGCCGTATGAGGACGCTTAAGGTCGCTCAGCGAGCTATGGAGAGGGCTATGCTTGGAGTTTCTCTGCGTGATAGACTCAGAAATGAGGATATCCGCAGTAAAACCAGAGTGATCGACATAGCCCAACGGATTAGTAAGCTGAAGTGGCAATGGGCCGGCCATATAGCTCGAAGAACCGATAACCGATGGGGAAGAAAGGTTCTCGAGTGGCAGCCTCGTACCGGTAGGCGTAGTGTAGGGCGACCCCCCACTAGATGGAGTGACGACCTGGTAAGACATGCAGGAAGTCGATGGATGCAGGTGGCTCAGGACCGTGCTTTGTGGCATTACTTGGGGGAGGCCTATGTTCAGCAGTGGACTTGTGAAGGGCTGTAATGATGATGACACTTTTTGAGCGTGGTGACCGATAAGAAAACATTTTTTTTCTCTTATTGAATAAATTAGACGTTAATATTGTTTAAAATATTTTTAATATCTTACAATACATGTAGGTTATTCAGGAATTTTTATCATTGAGATAGCAGCTAGTGTACACGCATACGTCTAGTCGCACGCACACAAACACCGTACCGAAGTCTGCCGAGTGCCGAAGTCTGCCGAACTGAAACGACGGACGATGCACGGCTTTCAACGCCACACCTCCGTGCCCGTCGGAGTAGGGAGCGTGAGGTTTTTTTTCGTTACGGAATTTCTGGATTCGGTCTCCGCGCTCAAGGCCCGCGATAGAAGCTATGCAATAGCTTAAAAATAACTTATTTGAAAAATTTATTAATTTATATTAGGGCTTTTACTATAGCTTCAATATGGCAATAGCAGATTATTCATCGCACTGATCCTGATGCCTGATCTCTTCAGATAAATGTCAAAATTACAATCTCATTTAAGCCAGGCTTTAAATACCTAGTTTGGCGACGAGGAACCGCGTCAAACAACCTTTTTACTACAGTTTACAGTGTCTTTAGGTTTCCAGTGCACTAGCTCACCTCCCGGACACACTGGTCTATCGTGGTATATATACGACAATTTCTTTTTTTTACAATTTTCTTATAAAATAGAAAACAAAGAAAATATTATTATTTTTTTAATTATGAATCACAAAACGATGTCAAAAATTGCGACGACATGTTGTCTGGGTGTTTTAATAAAATAAGTCAAATACTTGAATTACTGTAAATAAACATAGTATGTTTATTTATAGTATTCCGAATTGAAATCGGTACGCTAAACTAACCAGTGTATGAAGAACACTGGTTAGTTTAGCGTATCGATTTCAATTCGGATACATTGTGTTAACTGAGTTAAGGTGGAAGGTGTGCATGGACTATTTGTTGGTGGTATGTGTTCGTTGCAAGGTCGAAAGACAAGTAACACTTATTACTAAATTAATTTCTAAATATCGACGAAAGTAATATTGAAATATTGTAGAATATTTTGCATCGACATCCTATCGCCGTTATTAACATCTTGAGTAATTTGATATTTTTTATATACATCACATGAAAAGTTTATGTTTTATTATAGGATGTGTAAATGGATGCTGTGGCCCATAGACATCTACATTTATCTTCGATTAAGAATTTAAATGCAGATGCGTTGCCAGCCTTGAGGACTAAGATGAAATGCCTCGTTTCCAGTAGAAAGCGTCTCCGGTTCTCTACACTCACCATACGAAACACAATATCATTAAACTATTGTTTTAGGCTGGTATTCTGGGAAAGTGTGGTCCTTCCCCGGTCGAGCCGACCCATTCGTTCTACAACCATAATATAGCTGTAGAATGGCAGTACGTAGTAGTAAGTAGCCTGTACGTAGTAGTAAGTAGCCTATATGTAGTATATATTTCACTATTATTATACAGTCTATATACGTCCCACTGCTGGGCACAGGCCTCCTCTCATTTCTGAGAGGGTTTTTAGGGCAAGGAATATTCCACCGCGCTGCTCCAATGCGTGTTGGCGAATTTCACATGTCTTCGAAATATTTTTTCTTATTTCTAAGACATGCAGGTTTCCTCACGATGTTTTCCTTCACCGCCGAGCGCGTGGTAAATCAGCACTTAAAA